GGGGGGGGGGGGGGTGTCGCAAGCATTACGTAATTATTATGGGGAGGTTCACGCATGTGTTACAAGGGAGAGGGGGTAATAATCTAAATTTGCGATATGTAATTTATGGGTGGCTTCTTTGTGCCGCTCTGGCAAGGAGGAAAATTTACGGTGGAGTGGATGAGGGGTGATTTGGGGTATATGAGGAGAATTTTTCGGTGGGGACGGATAGTGAGCAATGTATGTAACTTAGTGCCGGATTGTGAGATTATTTTGAGTGGAAGTGCAGTAAGAAAGCGGCCATTCACATGCGTGATTGTTGTGCAGAAGGGGTCAACTGCGAGATTTTTGTCGGTCCTTGAGGGCGTCTCCAAACTTTACTACATGTGAAAGTCGGCTATTGGTAAGTTTTATTCCTTTCTTTCACAGCACTTAGCATAATTTGATGGAGGGCTTAAGGAGACCTAGCCCTCACCTTCCATCACCATTGCCCCACTTCTCTAAGAGTGTACATTGTTCTCTACTTTAACCCTTTTTTTACCACTATTTTATTTCAATCACCTTACAGATCTCATTATGGGCAACTTTCTTAACCTGAACTTAAGCAAGAAAATGGTAAACAATGGAGAATCAATAACCTGCTTGAGTTTTGAGTACCACTGTCTGAATGCTTGGTTACCAAATCTTTGTGGCTGTTCTACTGGAGGAGTTTCATCTATCCACTGATCCAATTTGTCAAGCAGAAGCACCATTCCTTTCGTTACTTCAGATTCAGAACATTTTGTTGCAGTTGAGATTCCTTTCACAGCATCATTGAGAGTCATGATGAACCCCAAGTAATCCTGGATCAAGAATTAATATTACACATTTCTATGTAATTGTTCTGTGTAGTCAAGACAAGAACTGCAAGACACATTAACACTTACTGCATATGCTTCAGATTTCTCCCAAACATGCATATCCTCAATAGTTAATACTGCTCTTTTGGGCACAATGAAAGGATGATTTTCCAAATCTGTTGAGAGAAAATACAGAACACCGTGAACAAGTCATTAATGAGAGTACTCTCTTCACCAATATTTCAATTTCTATTCACTCACCAATTTCTGCGGCCATAGTGGAACCTTAGATAAATTATCTTCTTCCTGGAGAAATCCAAATCTTTTAAAGTAAACACTCAATAATACATGAATGAGCGAAAAAAGCTTTATAAACGGCACACATTCGATGACAGTTGGTAATATATCATTTACAACGTAAATCTCCCATTATTATTGTTTTCATAGTATTACCAACAACTTCATTGCAGTTTATTACATAGACAAGCACTTGTTTTACACACCCACTCATTAATAATACGAGAACACGAAAAGCAACAGCAGACCGGTATTTTCCACGAGCAAAGAATAATCGGAATAATTGATAGATGCTGAAGAGCAAAGAGTTTATGCTGGATATAGATACTTGGCTTGCATTTCACAAAAACAAAAACGAAACGGTTGTTCACCATTATCACATGGTTATATATATTTATTCTGGGGTCAGTCAAGGAATTTCCATGCGCTACTATGCATATTCTATGGGAATGTGGAGGGGAAGGCGAGCTCTGGACGAGCTGTTGATTGAGCGAAACCAAAGAGAAACAGCTGCTAACAGCGAAACGTGGAAAGTTGAAGGCACACGCGCATAACCTCTAAGTTGCCTCTCGAATCGAAATAAATGAAGTTACTAGAATTTAACCGTCATTAAGTTGGGTGTTGACGTATTTTGTGAAATTAAGTCTTGGAGGTGTTATCTAACTATCGTGTAAGATAATTCCTAATTTCAGAAGTAAAATCCACATGTGATTCTTAAGTGTTGGGCTATTAATATTATCCAAGTGTTTGTAGTTTTTGCACTATGGTGATATTTGCCACTTGCAGAAATAATAAAGCTTTGGTTGGAGATTTTGTTTGTATTAGAGAATTGGTGGAATCAATTTTATACATTTGTGACAGGTAAAGATTATGGAAAAGATTTTATATTGAATTCTTGATTTTTTCAGTATCAAAATGGGGACTTCTTTGATTCAACAACTTCAGAAATTAGCAGCGCCACAAACTTCTTTCATTTTAGATGAGAAGAAAAAAGCATCCATCTTATTTGATCCTAAAGAAGCCGCAAGTTTTGATCGTGAAACCTTTTTTGAACTAGGTGAGTTATCAATTGTAGCATAATGTTTGGTGAAGAAAGATAATTGTGCTGAATGTCTTCTTTTTGTATTAACAGGAGTTAATGGTTTAGAAGAATTGAAGAAATTGAATATGAGATTTGATCAATTTGAAGACACACTTTTTGATGTATCGTCTAAAGACTTGCAGAGGGCTGTTCAGTCAAAAGAAGTAAATGAAAAACTGAATAGAGAAATTTCAAAATTTCTCGGCTATTTATCACCATATTTTCTCTTGAAATGCGCCCATCAAGCACTTGAATGGCTGATTCAAAGGTAACTTATTAACATTACAACAGTTCATATTAACTGTTCGTTACCAGTTTTAAATATTACCTCAAATAAATGAATCTCTAGCTCGGAGGTTGCAATGACAAAGGGAACACAAACGTGTTTTCAGTTTTCAAGTGTATTCATTGTGCCAATTTGGCTATTTGTATCCAAACACTACAGTTCAGAACATCCCCACTTTACTTTCTCGTGTACGGTGTATGTAGTAAGGAGAATGTATTGTAGTGGTGCAGCAATTCCCCACCCTACCAACAGAAAATCCCAAATTGTGGGCTCCTGATTCCAGAAATGTTGATTTTTCATACATCTTAATATAGAAAATTACTTTCTCAAATTATTAGTGTAGTCAGAATCCTCATGTAAATATGATTTTTGTATTGAAAAATTGATTCTTGGCATTTTGTCTGTGAACAACACTAGTGCCTGAACTAGTGATATTCATCAAAATTGATATTCCTTGAGTAATCTGGCTAACGTTGGGGCATCTTGATTTTAAAATGGATCTTTTTAATTTTGAGGGTACTTTATAATATGAAACTCCAAAGAGATTTTTGAAATTTTCTCAGAACTGGCTCTTAATTATTTCTTCGATTTTTTTTGTTTACAGAGAGCAATGTAAAAAATTAGTGCAGGTCTGATTTTCAAGAATTCCTTAATTTTAAAATTTGTTAAACTCCCTCCGCTCACTGCATTTTTGAAGATGTTTTTTTCGTAACAAAATCTTTTTGTCAAAATTAGAGAAAGAAATCAAACTTTAGAATTGTTGAAAATTCAGAGTAAATAGTGAAAATTGGTCGTATGCCATCTATACAAATGTTCTGTATTTCACAATATTCTTACAAGAAAAAAAATTTGAGATAATTTTGGAAATGTCCCAGGGGCTTCATCTAAGATACCTCCAAAATTTAAAGGTTTTTCAGAAATGCAGGGCTTTGAGTCAGACCAATTCAACTGGGGAATATTCATTTTGGAATATATCCTACTCATAGGTAAGGTGCTAGTGTTGTTCACAGACAGATAAATGGATGGACGTTTTGAAAAAGGCACTTTTGAGGTGTCAGGGAATGTCAGATTGTAAATTTCCATTGAAATCTTTAAATAGATTTTCCACAGCTTTTTCTATACTACTTATATTACTTTATACGTACAGATGTATATGAGGAAGTGAAAAACAATTTTTCGATATCAGGGGCCCCAAAACATGTATTTTTGTTGAAATCATGAAATTGATTTTCTGGAGCATTACATAACTTTCTCTACAGAGCATATATTACTCAGTGTATACGTATGTGTACAAGAAAGTAAATATAAGCAGTTTTTGAGAGAATCATTTTTTAAATTTTATATGACTAGTTTTTTGACGAATTGTACACAACAATATTATAAGATTTATTTTCGAGTCGATTTCATTATGGAAAAAAATTTGAATGTCAAAAGATTTAAACCTTTGTAATTTTCAAAAATTTTATGCTTCATGTACAGTATTTCCAAAAATTAAAATATTTGTTTCAAATTCAAGGGGCCACAACGTCAGTCAGATCGATCTAGGAATATCAATTTTGGTGAAAATCCTGCATGATTTAGTGTGATCTAGTGTTGTTCACAGGCTGACAGACAGACATGTTTTGCAGTAAAACTATTTTTCAGTATGAAAGACCTACAAAATATGGATTGTGTTTATATGTCTAATAGGAAGTAATTCATAATATGTGGAACAAGATTTATCCACATTTTTATTTGGAGCATGGCAATAATGGTTATTCTGTTAAAAAATCATGATTTTTTTCCTGTAAATTTTCAAAAATTTGCTTATTTGAATGTCACATGCTTCTTTTGCTGAAGAGTGTCATGTGATGTCAGAAGAATTAGCAAAATATAATGCAATTTGCAATATATGCCTTATTCACTACAGATTAAACAAGCAAGCTTGAGCTAGCACCACTAGTTTTTGATTTTACTAGTTATTATGTACATTCCTGCAATGCATGTGATACTAATGATTGAGAAAGATAACACTATGTACCCAAATGTACACAAGCACAATTTGATACACTAAGAACACAAATCCCTCATGAAATGCCCGAAGAGTTCAGAGAATGATGTCTTGGAGTAAAAGTATTGGCTATTATTTTCACAGATACATGAAGTGTATTGCAGCATTTTTCAGAGTGATGCATTTTATTAGATCCTGAATCTATAATAAAATACTTTTGAAATTCATGTTTCGGGCTTGTATTTTATCATTTATTTTCTTCTAATTTTTGCAATACATCATTCTCCATATATCTCTGAATCCTTTTAAGCCTGATATGTGTGGCTGCAGGAAAAATCACTATTTTAAGAAATCCGTTGACCTTCTATTAATTGTCAGTGTATAATAATGGTTCTCAAATTATTGAAATTCTCTTGATCATGAATCATTCTGTTAAGTTATGAAAAATGTTAAATGCTGAATGGATCTGGTAATGTATGTTGACATAACCTTTACCTGCATTTTAATTTTTTTATTATTACATACAATATAATACAGGCAAACACCCAATTATACTAATTAGGAGATTAATTGTTTAAAAATATTAATTGAAATAATTCAAAACCAGGTTTTTGCATTACATTTAAATTTATAATCCAAGCAATTTAGACCTATTATACCATTGTTAGCTCTTTGACATCTTCTGTAATAGAGTGTAATAAAAATATTTTTGTTAACATTTAAATGAGTGGCAAATTTCAATGGCAATAAAACATAATTGAATCTGCATTCTGGGAGCCATAATTCAACAGAACTCTCTTTCTGACCTCCAGGTGGGAATTTTTTCAGTTTTTTGATGTATTTTTTTCTAAATAAAATGTTTGTTAATAAATCATTCTCTTTTCAGTTGAGATTGTCAATAGTTATATTGGTCACAGACCTACCAGGCTTCCATTTCACCTTTAATTCGAATTTTTCTTTTAAGGTTTCAAATTCACAAATACAATGTTGATGATCTGATGATGCTGATTCTGCCATACCACGAAACCAACATATTTGTTAGAGTGCTTCAGATCATAAAAGTTAAGGAGCCCACCAACAGATGGCATTGGCTGCATCGGCTACAAAATGCTGGTGTTCCCCTTTCTAAGACAGCGTTACTCAATCATTGTTCTTCAAGCACTTCTTTTCTCTCATTTGTGTGCCACATTCCAACAACAGTAATGAAATTATGTAGTGATAGCTGTTCAGGGCTTCATACTCTGTGCACCTTTTGTTGTATGACAATTGTTGGTGCCTTGGAGCACAGTAAAGAAGTTTCAGAGGTGCAAGTTTCACATATATTGAAGCTCTTGATTGAAACACTGACATCGCCATTTCTTGAATTTTCATGTATGTCCATTGTAATCACTGCGCAATTAGCCAGAACTGTTAAAATATCTGAACAAGTGTTGCTGGTCCTTGTAAACAAACTTTCCAAGGTGTGTTCTATTTTTAGTTTTTAATGATTGTATCCATTGTGGTTTACAATTAATAATTATAATTAATTAATTTTGAGTTTTTTGTGTATTTTTTTTCATAGGTGCCGCATGTGTCTCTGGAATCAGAATGTTGTGCTGTTCTCTCTTTGCTTTATCTTACTCAACAAGAAACATTGTCTACAATTTCTGATACAGCTTTAATTAATTTTACAAAATCAAGAACATTCATTACTTCATTGCAAAAAATTATTGATGGAGGAGGAGATATATTTAATTTCACAGCAGTCTTGATCAAAGAGGCATCAAAAAAAATTTTACAACATGATGAAAATCAGGAAGATCTGCAGAATTTTTTGGAAGAATTGCTATCTTCTATTACTCTCAATGAAGATGATGCTGAGAAAGTAGTTTTGTAAGTTTTAATTTATTCAATAATATGTTACAAATTGATCTGTAATTTCCATCTCAAAGCAAGAAGTTTTAATAAAGTACTAACTTGTTACTCCCAATAGGTACAGTTCACTTCAAATACAAATACATTAAATTAAATGAACCCTACTATATAGAGATGATTAAAAAATGATTAGTGAATTCATTGAAACATTTTCATTCTGCAAATGAATATATTTTTGTATATTTGTTTAAATTATAGAGAACTGAATTTATCAAAACAATGAGAGTTTGTTAGTTAATGCCTTATGGCACTATGGCAAGACTCGGGCTATGAAGCCTTCGCTTCTATCTGACTATGCAAAATTTTGCTACGCTTCTTTCAGCATGTAACAGAGAAAGAAGGTTTTGCTTGAATGATGAAACAAGCGATTTGAATTTAGCTTAGAGGCTTCTTTTAGGCTGAAAGATGTAGTAAATCTACTACATAGGATAGCCAGGTTTTCTTCCACTCTGAGGAAGGCATGCAAAGGATTTTTTCACCCTTAAGAATCCACTTCGATTGAGTTTGAATCCGCAAACTTGGGTACATCAGCCTGATACAGTAACCATTATACTGTTGAAGCCCCCTAAGAGTGATTCACTGACATATCAATGCAAAGTTAAAACTACAGTGGCTGGAACCTGGAAATTTGTATTTTGTTTTTATTATGAGATAACCTGGAAAGGATTTTTCAAAATTCATCCCCTGAAAGAGGTTACAAGTTTGTTACTTACCATTTGCAGGGAGTAAACAATGCAACTAATATCAACCTTTAGCAAGTTAGTAATGACAAGTAGAATGGTTGGTTGGTAGTAATGACTGTTAATATGGCATGTTTGAGGTGAGGGGGCACAGATCTTATGGGACTGGGATGGTGCATAAAAGAAATAGTTTAGATGGAATTTATTCTTTTTCTGTCTAAGAGATGATTGCGATGAACACCTAGGCAGTGGGGTAGCATGTCATGTATGTCACGCCCTTCATAATCCTTTAGATAGCTTCCTGTCATGAGCGAGTGTAGCAGGCCATTACAATGTGCATAGCATGTGGAATTCCCCTCTAGCCATGTGCAGTAGGATGTGGATGGAATGTACTGTAGATGGATTGGATCCTTTCCCTTTCTAATAGGCAATTCTCAGGGGGCTTCAGCTAGTTTACTAATAAATTTCCATCTACAAACTTAGTTCAGTGTTCAGCCAGCTTTTGTTGTAAACATACTGATGTTTATTTTTGTATTAACTGTTATACAGTTTTTAATAATTGTTTACTTCCTATACAGTTTTCTATAATCATATTATTTTACTTCCAGACTAATTATTGATTTCAACATTTTAAGAAAGAGAAGTGGAGAGGATGCAAGAAAATGATGATGATGATACAATGGATGTTGATGACAGTAAGTGATAATGCTGCTCGCGCTTCTCAAGTTTTTACAATGGTATTCGTCATTTTTACGAAGTTTGGAACGTCAGTACTCTGTAGTATTTGACACTGTTGTTAAGAAGGTTTTGGAAAATACCAAAGATGAGAGGAAAAGAAGAAGTCTCCTTGATATTTTAGGTTTTATGCCTAAAGTTAATTTCCAGATATCAGGAATAGATATGTTTGAAAAGCTGCACCATCCTAGTGTGTCAATGAGAGTTGAAGGAATTAAATATTTATTAGCTAGTGTGAACAAAGTACAGGTAAGTTAAGTAGCCTTGGAAGTGCTGTTGCAGACTTTTTGTTGTTATGAAATGGAATAATTCTTAAAAGACCTATGGGATTAGAATTTTGTAGTGTAAATAAAATACACCGTGGTAAAAATATTATTATTATTAATAATAATAATTATGATAAAGATAATAATAGTAGTAGTAGTAATAAAAAAAATAACAACTTGTGCGAAACATTTTGTAAAACATTCATTCTAAGCATCTTTCAGAAAGACTGACTTAAGCATATCAACTGAGTATGTTATTTTCAATCCCCAATTCATAAAATTTTCTGGTGTTTTTTTACCTATATGTACTCCAAAATAATTAGTTGTAAAATTAGTTACAAAATTGTTTGTAAACTTGATGAACCTAGTAGTTTTTTATAGTCCAAGCCTGATCTTTTGGTTCTTCTATAAAACAAATAATATATAGTATGTCATTGAAATTTGTGACTTGATGCTTATAAAAGAAACAACAAAATTACAGATTGTATTTTACTACTGAATTTGTGGTGTGTGTTTCAGTCTGACGATAAAGAATTTGTGCAAAATATTTTGAGAAATCGCTTACAAGAAGACAGTTACAAAGTAGTGGGAGCTGTGCTCGAATGCCAAGCTTCAGAATTGGCATCTTTAGTGGGAGAAGAATTTTTTGTAATGCAAATGATAAAGATTTCTGCAAAATACTGGCATATGTCCCAAATATCAGATACTTTGAAAAGCAAAGTAGTTGCATATCTTTGCTCAGATGCATCTTTCAAGACCAAGCCAGATGCTGTATTTTTTGCTGTCCTTCCATATCTGTTACCAAAATCAGATGAAGATGTACCATTTGCAATATGTGCTTTAAAATCTGAATTCGCTTCAAAACATAAAGTAATGTCAGTTATTCAGAATGGTAAGAATGCATGTTGAAAACTATTATGAAAATTAATCCAGTATGTAACTTTTATTATCTTTCTTATGCAATAGTAATTTCTTCTTTCATTTTCAGAAATCCAAAATCTTGCTACAGTTACTGATGCAGATTTTGTTTGTTCTGTTGTGTCAAAACTGATCACGAATAAGAAACATATATTTAATACTACAGAGTTAATAAGTATGATAAATGAGATACCAATCTTTAAAACATATCCTGTTTATAAATTTATTGGAACAATATTGATGACTGCTTCAATAACTAAAGCTACTACAGTAGAAGTTAAATGGAAAATTATGGATACAGTTTTGGAATATTTTGCCTCTTCCAATGTAAGTTTTAGCTTTAATTATTCAGTAGTGATTTTAATTGAAGAATGTAATGAATTGTTAGAAGATAAAGTATTTAGAACTTCTGCCCATTGATTATACAGGAACAAAACATTAAGTAGTAGTTGGAGGGGGGGATTCGATATATAAAATATGTCTCAATGTTCTGAATGTAATGTGTGTACTGTAGAACCTTGTTAAACCAGGTCAGCTGGGGCCAGGGCCAATCTGAGTTAACGAAAATCTAGATTATCCAGAGATAAACAATCAAAGAAGAACGTGGACTTACCAAACATTATTTTAATGATATTAAAAAATTAGGTAAAATTGGCACAATTTCACCTAAGGTAATATGTATTTACACTTATATTATACATCGGTACAAACTAACCAGTGGTCCTAAGAATGCCCAGGTCATAGCCACTTTCTTGCCTTCCCCTTTTCCCTCTGCATGCGGCCCAGCGCCAGAGGCAAGGGGATAGGAAGGAGAGGGTTTTGCAGTTGGGGTGAGGACAATGAACTCTACCTCCGGCACATGAATTCTAGTAATATACTTATTGAGAGTTTTGATTTGTCATCTGTAAAACAAATCTTCATTTACTATGCTAAACATTTTTTTTTCCAAAACTGGTTCGGGTTAAAGCGGTCCAGTTTAACAAGATTCTAATGTGTGCAGTCAAATATTTTATACTTCCTGTTGGTTCTTTTATGCTACAAATCTTTCTGTAGTTAAAATCTTTTTTTTTCCAATTTCAATATTTGTGTTTGTCATTTCTTGTTGTTTTGTCTTGTATATTAATAACAAAAAGGTAATTATAGTTTATTTCTTGCAAATATTGAATGAATTTCTTTGTTGTTACTTTCAAATATTGTAGTTTGAAAACAAATTATGGTTTTATAGGTGAATGAGAAAGTCAAGGGTTTGTCTCTGCTGTCTGACCAGACAATGAGTGCATGTATGCAAGTAGCATCTAAAAGAAAACTTCCCATTCAGGGGCTCTTGTTTTGTTTACAAACTTTAACAAAAAACATTGAGCTTTCGGAAGACGTCACTTGCCGCCATTGGTGGGATATTTCATCTATTGGGGAAGATTTCCACAAAAGCAATTCGTTATTTTTCATTAAATTATTTGAAGTTTTGCTTGTAGGCTGTATGGGTGAAGGAAATGCTGCAGAGCATGTTAGAACGGCATATATTTGCTACTTAAAAAATTTATTTACGGTAGGTATGAGTTTCATATAAATGTATTTCAATTATTGAAGTAAACTATCTGAGTTATTTGATTGCTGTCTATTTTTATGTTAGAGACTTTGTGAATTTCTACTTTATTTTTTTCTTGTTTGTTTTTCAGGATGTTTTCCCAAATTTGCAAGCACAACTTGGTTTTCTTTCCAATTTATGGGTGTCTCATGAATTTGGACCTAAACATAAGGGTATAGCCAGCTATGAGTTGCAGTTGAGATCTCTTCTACTGGCAAGATCTTTACTTTTAAAAACAGAAGAATCTGTTGGTTGGACTATGAACATAACAACTGAGTCCATAATTCCACCCCTTTTGATATCTCTCTCATGTCCCATGGGTCCTGTGCGAGTAGCTGCTTTAGAGTGTTTTGGTGCTCTAAGAAATACTTTTGGAGCAGCTCTGAATCAGAAAGGATATCATTGTCTTCTTTCTAACCTCTTAGAGTTTGAAGAGGAACTAAAACTTGACGCAGAGTAAGGGAAAAACTGTAATTGTCATTCACTTCACGAAAATACGATGTACAATTGTCTCCAAAATAATGTTACAAAGTTGTGAAGTACTGAGAAAGGTTCATAATGTTCAGGTTTTCAATGACTACATAGTGGGAAGTTTCAAATAAAGAGTTCCACGTGTTGCATTTGCCACTTGTCAGGCACTTTGTAGACATTTGTGTTCTGCGCAGTGAAAATGGTTTCATGTACCTGTAGAACAGAAGTTTCTCTCACATTCAGAGGCAAATATAACATGTGTAACTCTTATATCAAATTTCCTGCTGTATCTGTGGCTTTAAGCACACACATTGCATGTCCAGAATTCCTAGTTTTTCCAAACTTGACAGTTTGTGAAGTTGTTACAGAGCAACAATGCTTTCTGGGAAAGATCATAATCTCTCACATACAATCTTTGTACATTAGGTAGATAAGAACTATAAGTCTTCAAAAATGACCATGAAATGAAATACAATGTGTGCACCAGGCCATTGATATGTTCATTGGCAAAAAGCGATAATTTTTGGCCCCTCCACCTGCTGTAGAATTGTGTAGCATTTATTCTGATTCACTCTGAATTATTGTGCATCAGGATTGGAAAAATGAGGTGTAGGGGAGGTGAAATATGAGGGTCTCCCTAAAAGTAATGCACGGCAATTGAGGAGCACTTTCAATTTGTTTTCCTCCCTTTGCTATTTTTACAGTATGTTGATCCATATTTGAGGAACAAAACATCACTTCTTCACATAATCTCCGTCTCTTTGTACTGCTTTTTAACACCTTGGAAGAAGGGCATGAATCCCGCACGGTAGAAGTATGTACCAGTACGTCTGAGTCACTGTTTAGCAGTGTTTGCAATGGAATCCACATTTGAAACCCATTAGACAAACCATGTGCAATTGCTTGCTTTTACTGTTCTGCCCATACTTGCTTCTCTTATACCCACTTTCAATGACAATTCTTTCACGGTTACATGCTTCTCAGCCAAAATGAGGTTCTGAATGAGCTGCTCATTGCCAGGAGAATGTAAAGAGCGTGATCTCCCTCTGCATGAGATATCCTGAGTTTTTGCTTCTCCAATTTCACCAGATAGTCTGGAAGTCCACTGACTTAACTGTACAATGATCAACAGCATCAGCTCCATACATGTTTTTTTAACTTCTTGTGAATGTTTGTCGCTGTCTCGTCCACCTAGCACATTGCTTCCGATGAACATGTAATACAGCAGCCATATTAAATGAGTGCTATGAGAGTGACACTTGCGGAAAGATGTTGAACTAAGTTTGAATTCAAGCGAGAAGTATGATTTGCAAAGAGCAAAGATGTAGAAAAGAAAAGTAAAATAAAAAATAAAAAAAAATCATGTGCATTACTTTTGGAATGACCTACATAGCATTGCTGTGTTGTATCATTGGTTTGGTGAAAGGGGGTGCACAAAGATTGTGCACATCTAAGGAAAGATACATGAACTAAATTGCTTAGTTAATTTAGTTTTTGGTCTTTCTGTTGGCAATTTTTTTCCCCCCCAGAATAGATGAAATCCAAAGTAATTGAGATGTTTAGAGTTTTGGATTATGATTAAATCATCTTACAGTATTTGAAATCATAAAACATTATTACTTAACATATTTGTGTCCTATAGTTAAATTCAAAACAAAAACCAAAATTTTTCAAAATACATAAATCTCTGTGTATTTGTAATTTCAGTGATTTACATGGTGCATTATATATTAATATATTATTGTATTTCAGACAAATTTCTGTTGTTTTGTACAAACTTCTGTCTCCTGATGAAGCTGTTCAGAGTTGCTATACCAGTACTCAGAAAAGACAATTAAATATAATAATGAATGCTCTGTTTGATTGTGTTGTGCAGAATGAAACACCTTTGCATTTTAAAGCAGCTCTCTTAAAAATCTTGAGCCACGTGAATTCTTCGGTAAGGGGAACAATGGTTTTTGTTTGTACAAAGTGAAAAGTGCATTGACAATTTTAATTTCTATTCAAATTCTTGTTTTTAGAATATAATGAATAAATTAGCACCGGTTGCAAAAGAAGTTCTTTCAGTGGCTGTGTCTAGTGGGAATCAATTGGATTTCTACAGATCAGCTATGTTGAGAAATATCTTTTCAAGATTTGAAAATGACACTTACAGTTCTCTAACAAAACATAAAGAAGTATGGAACTTATTTAAAACTGCTCTTTTTGATTACAAAAGTTTGGTGTATGAAGAAAATTCAAGGATTACATGCCCCTCTATAATAGCGATGAATCAGGTAAGCTCCTTTCCCATTATCAGAGACTGCAAATTAATTTTGGAAATTAAAATGGTTTTGTACAATTGTGGAAATCACTTAGGAATAGCATATGTCAAAATTTATCTATCTAGTTTTGTGAATAATACTATGTCTAGTTGTACCCTCCCATTCTTGTTTCATTTTATTTTATTTTGTATTATGCAGAAAACCCTTTTCCCAATATTAACACCAATTTATCTACTGGTCTCTTCAATTTCCCTATGTTCCCAATGTAATGTTATAATACCTTTTACACTTTCAAATTTAAAATTTCCCTGTTAATATTTTTTTCTGTCTGGGCAAATGTTAAAAAGGAAAATGTTTGGCCATGTATATTGTATGTTTGTTTGTTCCTTTGCATTGTTGAAATATTAGATTGTATGTGGCTGTATGAAGTCAAAATTATCATAGGCTAGGTGTTTGGTAATGAATTGCAGATCCTTATATTTTTAGAGATGTTCTGTGAATAGTGGTCATATCACCGGTAATGAATGGCTAGACAAATGCACTATTATGCCAGGTTATGTAATGTAGGATGTTCACAATTCTGTAATCGCTTTTCACTTTGGTGAGGAAAGTGTTGTACCAAATGTATAATGTAGTTTTTAAAACATTTGTCATTAGGTATTATAAAAAGACTACAATTCATAATCACATAAAAATATAATTTAGAAAAGTTGGTTTATTGACCCTTAATTGTATGATAATGTTGAAACGATTGCTGATGGTATCTATTTACTGACTATTTACCAGTATTTTCATGCTTTTTCCCTACCTCCTATAAGCAATAATAATAATAATAATAATAATAATAATAATAATAATAATAATAACAATAATAACAACAATAATAATAATACTAAGGAAGAAGAACAATAACAGCACAAACCCTTGCAATTAAATCACACAGAAGAAAAAATTGTAGAAAAGGTACAGAAAAGAACAATATATGCACTGTATTGAAAATCGAAAATCCCATAAATATTGTTTCATATTGTTCAGTATTTATTTTCCTTGACTAATGAAATGAGGGAGGTTTACAAATTCTGGAACCATTACTATTCACAATGAACACTGAGATAAAAATGTTTTTGAAAATGTAATTTAAATGTTTTATATTTACCAAATTTTGTGAATGTTCGTATGTTGAAGTAGACGTAAGAAATAATTCTGGTAACTCATTTAATTATAATCACTGAAGTTTTTAGGGAAGGGGACACTTGTCAAATGGTTGCTGGATATTGTATTTATATACATTCATTAATCTTTGTATTTAAAAACACTCAATCTTTAAACATGAAAAACTTGCTATCTTCACTTTATTCACTGGAACCTCACACACCATTTTCAAAGGATCAGTCGCTGCTTGCATGAGAATACAATGTAAACAAATGTTTAATAAGTGTTCATTCTATGAATCTGAAGATAGTATTAAAATTTTGTTTTTACCATAAAATTGATAAAAAAAATAGCAAGTGAAAACACATCTAGAGTCCAGTATCATTAATACTCAAAAATTTTTCTGAAGGCAAAAGCTCTTATTATTAGAAATATATAAATAACAATAACAGTAATATCTCAGTAAATGCCCAGTTGCTCTTATTACTTGAGTTGCTATGACAGTGAACTCCTCGAACAGCCTTTAGGAGTTCTGTGATGCTTACATTTTTCATTTTACCACCTGGTCACAGTTGCAAGTTCAACAATTAAATAGGAATAAGTTTCCTATTTTGCGGTGGCCAAGTACCATTGCAACCCCAGAGAGGAACTGTACTACTTAGCAGAAGTAATGTTACCAAAAATTCTTTGAACAGTCAAAACTTGATTTGTTACATTATTTCAGCTAAGAAGCTATGGGTCATAATGGTCCCAGAATTCCCATGTAATTGTTTTAACTTAAGATTGTGACCTAGTGGTGATATGTAAAATAATAAGAAATGATGATTGTTGTTGTTATTATTATTGTTATTATTATTTTAATTTTATATTCTGTGCCTTTGTAGATCCCAACATTTCATTTTTTTGTGTTTAGTTTAAAAAATGAATTGTTCTGTTGATTATAAAATGGTTTTCTTCTCAATCTTTCTTAGTCAGCAATTAATGTTTTATTTTGCTTGCTTCTACTCACACCTATAGAACTTCAGACCTTTTTTCAAAAACAGTGGGATACAATGGAAAAAATCTGTAGCAGCTGACTCAATTTGAAAACCTGACTTGAAATTTAAAATGTTGAGATTTTACACTCTCATATTTGGTAGTGCACTTAATGAAATCTAGAGGGCTGTATTTATTCCAGTCTTTTGTAATGTAACTGTTCATGTTAATGTCTCTTAATACTATCTAACTTTAGTGTCAGTACCTAAAGACAATTGGCTCCATCACAATTAGTATTCTTCTGAGAGTTTGTTGTATGAAATTTAAGAGTTTTGTCTGCTGCTGCTGCTGCTTGCATCATTTTTGGATTCCATTTTAGGGTTTTCAGTTTTTGCCTAATTTTTACAATTTTTCTGTATAACTATAGTGAATTTGTTTCTCTTCTGTTTTTGGATGCGTTTAACATAGAGCAGGTAGAAAAAACACCTCAACCGTAGGCCCTTCTAAAAGCTTTGTACATCTTCATCTTTTTTCATAAGAATATTCCCGTAGCTTGTGTTCTCTTCAGTTGCAATGCATCTATTTCCAGAAATGAATCCATAAAGATTTCTCAGCTGCCAAAAATCACTTGTCAGCCATTTTCGACAGTGCAGTTTCTGAACTGGGTGACAGGGATAAACAGAGGGCAAGCCCTCAGTGGAAACAAGTGTATTGCAGCTGACTTGTACTTGACCTTTCTCAGAGTTAGATCTGTTTTTAGATGCAACACTAGAGGAGAGAATGGCCAAGGCTGAGGTAAATTGATGACGCCACAACAAAAAGATCCACGAAAAAGATATAGCAAAGGAATAAAAGGGGCGTGAAAAAATTGGGTTTAGGAGCTCGCTGGCAGATCCGGGGATATGGGGGTCATGGCCCCCTTTCCCCCCAAAAGGCTTAGAGTTTTCATTTACTTCTCTTTATTTGTTTGGCTTATTCCTTTATTACTTTCCTTTATTTGATTTAATGGGAGACGGAATGACCTATCTCGGCAATGTTAAAAACATTTCCTCTGAAACCAAATGATTTACAGACTGGAAAATTTTATGTGATTTTAACATTTAATAATTCTGCCATGTTAAAGTATATAAACTGGTGGACTACATGTCCATTTTAGTTTTAGCATCTATCTATTAATAGTTTTGTGAAAATGTTCCCTAAATATGAAAATTTTAAACTTAAGGGAAATGGCTCCTAAAGTTTTCGGTGCATTCCTGGTCTGTTCACTTTGCAAGAAAAACACCTATATTTTGACACTATTCAACCTTCAATTGTTACCAGAAACAGTTTGTACTACACTTGAAAACAAAATATTAACTATTTCCCACAAGAAAAGCAGGAAAAAGTTTAAGCAACACCCACAATGTGTCAAAATGGCCATGCGCCCTCCACACCACATAAATTTCAAAATTTTAAAATACATACTTAGAGATGGCACATTAAGATGAAAGTTAGCTTACTTTAATCAGAAAACTATAAATTTATTAATGGTTAAAAAAAAGTAAATTTAATAATTTTTCTCCATTCTGGCTCCTCTTAAATTCCATTTATGTTCAAATTATGTTATTATTTAAACAATGATATTGTATTGTATTGTATTTACAGTTTGTGAATAATATACAATATAATAACAAATATGTTTATTATTTAACAAAAATCTACAATGGTCCCATTCAAAATGATCGTCTGGATCTGCCCCTGCAGGAGCTGAGCTACTAACCTACACAAGACAGCTAGTGGCTAATAAAAGAAAACTTGTGGTGCTGCACTACTCAATATTGCCCTATTTTATCTACAATACTTTAAAATTTAACACTCTTGTGACTTCTTTATCTCTCTCTAAAATAATTAAGTCACAATTTTCAATTGCATAGTAAAGGCTGAGTTGTCACAAGCAGTGTTGTCAATAGTACATGAAGATATGATATTGCACGTATATAAATATATCATTATAGTTGAGGCTCTTTTCCTTTCAGGAATTATTACCAAGAATTTGCTTGTCTGTTAGCCAATATTTTCTGTTGCTATGGTTTTCTTCAAAATTTTATTACAAAATCTTTCATTATCTCATAAACCCTTCAAAAATTCATCTTGTATTAACGAGTTAAAATTTAAATGCAATCATGGTTCCAGTGTTAGTCAGTTGTTGTTTTTTTATAATTCAAGTCCATGAATTGTGTCCCTTATGTAGACGAGACATATCTATCAAGCAAGTTCAGAAAAGGGACAGTACCTGTTAATCCAGTGTTTATGTTATCCAGTTTCTGGAGAAACATAATATTTCAAAAATGTATTTAGGCACTACAGTATTTTACTTCAGATGTTGGGAGTTGTATGAAAAGTGTACATTATTAATGCAATGTCATTGTATTATAGTATAAATTTGATGTATGAAAAGTATTTTTGCTTTACAGATTTCCAAAGATTTCTTTGATGCCCTTCCTAATTATCAGCAGGACTTACTGAGTATCTTGGTAAGAGTGGCAACTGAAGCAGATTCTCCTGATGTAGTGTCTGCGGTTGGGCATGTGTTTAAGAAGATTGTGCTGGAGTGCAAGCATGTGGTATTGGAGTTGGAGAAAGTGCGCGATGCTCAGTGTGCTCCTGATCCTCTCACTCTTAAACGACGAACAAGAAGTCAGGCAAAGTTAGTTCTTTCTTTTTTTTTTTGTTGCCTTAGGTTATTTATTATTATTATTATTATTATTATTATTATTATTATTATTATTATTATTTTAATATTTACTTTTCAATTTTTTTAATATTTGTAGTAGTGCACGCCCCTCTGTGGAACTTTTGAAAACCAAGGAATGGCATGAAGGGACAACTCTTCTAGAATTGATCCAAAATAAGAAGAAACTTCGAGGTGTACGTCTTTTGTTTCCAGTTTTATTTGATCTTCTAAAACGGTAAACATTTTTTTAACTTGGCAGTGTTTTGAATTTTAGGAAATTATATAAAAGAATCAATTGATGAATTATATTTCTTTTGGAATGTACAGTCCCTTTTTTAATTTAGAACAACCATAATAAATACTTCTAACATTTTTTATTCCATAATTTTATCTTATGAAACCAGAAGACGTTTCGAAGACTGTTCTGTCTTCATCAGGAGCAACTAATATTATGTACTAGAAAACTACATACAATATATACAAAATATACAAAAGTGTGTCTGATTTAGTAAATATTTTTCGGATATCATAAGATAAATAAAATTATGATATAAAAAATTTTGGAAATATTTATTGATGTTATACTAAATTTTAAAAAGGGATTGAAAATATTTGAAAACAATTATATTAGTGACAACCAATTTAAAACTTATATCTTCTTATTTGTATATCTTGTTGTATTGTTCAGTTAGCTTGAATATAGTATAAGCAGATTGAATAATCTGAGGTGATTGACATGTACCATCAATTGCAGATGTTTAGACTTTGAAGAGCAAGCACCTGTGGAGTATATAAAGCAGCTGATTCTCTCAAGCCTTCTTCATTGCTGTCAGAAGTTATCATCTGAAGCTGAAGATAATACAGAATTGTCTGAAAAGGAGATAAATGTTGAACTTGTGGTTCAATGTATTCGTGCTTCCCAGAATCCACAAACACATCATCATGCTTTGCTCGTGTTGTCCCAGTTAGCAGGAATGATTCCAGTATGTTTACAGTAATAAAGTGGTTATTGCTTAACAATATTGTACATTTCTAAAGTTAATGTTTGATTGTTTCAGGAACAAGTCTTGCATAATATAATGGCAATTTTTACTTTCATGGGGTCATCCATTTTGCGACAAGATGATGCATACAGTTTCCAGATTATTTCAAAAGTTGTAGATACTGTCATTCCTATTCTTGTGAAGGTGAGTAATTCAGAAAATTTTTATTTTTATTTTAACCAATTGTGAACTACTAAAAAAAAATGGAATTTTATTTATGGAACATTCTAAAATTGTCTTTAAATAATTAGTTCCACAATAGGGGCCATAAAATTGATAATAATAACCTTTATTATAAGGTTGTTTTTTTTCTTCCCTCCCCTAAGTAGCCTATTTGGTTTTTTCATTCATATATTCTAATGTCAGCCACTGTGAGTATTATGTATTCTAAGGTTCCTGTGACGCCTGTCGGCGCCATTGCCAGTTCGGTCAATTTCGTGATAAATAATGGCAGAGATTTTCTTTTAAAAAACAGTCCAAACCAAAAGTTTGCAAACAGTTCACTTGAACAAAAGGGAGAAGCCTTGATTACATCCATTACATATTCAACAGTTTGAGTTGTTTGACATGGTTCGGATACATTTTTTTACGTAATTTTTCTTTGTTTTTAGGACATTTTAAAAGCATTTTAAGAGCATTTTATTGATCAGTTTTGGCAATGTTTTAGGTCATCAAAAGCCACCTCTTAATAATACATTTTATTTTGTATTTATTAAGGACGTTTTAAGAACTAAATAAATTTTATATAAAAGGACTTGTATTTCTGCCAAAAAGCCAGATTGACAATCATTTTTATATTGTAAAGATCCTCACAAGGATCACCTCCCACAATGGCATCTATTTTTCAAGTAAATTTAATGTTCATAAGATTGGGAGTTATTGTTGTTATCATTATTATTGTTATTAATTATTTTATTTGTTTGTAATAATTGAATACCTATCACTCTTCAACCAAAACTTTGTTTTTTTCAGAAGTTGGATCTGGTTTAAAAATGCTATTTTCCTTAGAGTATTACTTTTAAAAACAAATATGAAAATGAGTTACTTTCGTGTCAGAAATCCAGTAATTTAGATTTGGAGAACTGTATTTTTAGGTGTTAATGTTGGATGATTTATCCTTAATATTGAATTTCTTTCGGCTCTTCAGATTTTGCTTTTGCTAAAACTTGTATGACATTCTTAAGTGCTTAAGAAAGAATTTTTTTATACACCCTAAAAAATCAAAAACAAACTAACTGTTAATATATTTTTTGTAGAAATAGGAAATCTTCTGTAGTGTTTGACATTAACCATTTGTTAATTTGGCATGAGAAAAATATCTAATTTCTATGTTGTGTCCTTCCACTGTTTTTTGTGTTGTTGCTTATTTGAATAGATGCTGTATGTTTGACAACCACATTATAAAGTTCACTATTTATCTAGCACATTAACAAATATTTTTTCATTGCAGGCTAATGAAGCCGGTGTGGATCCAAGGAAACTATTTGATCCTGTTGCTGGTGTTTTGCGGGTGTTTGTTGACGCATTAGTGGATATTCCAGAACATCGTCAAATGCCATTGTTTCATAAACTTATGGTAACCCTTGGTGAAGAAAATTTCTTGTGGTTGTTAATGGCTCTTGTGATAGAAAGTCATGTTCGTCAAAGAACGGCACCAGATCAGAATAAAGATGGAATGCTTCCCAAGAAATTGAACTTTGTTGTTAACCTTACTTTGAGATTTCATCCATTGACTGCTATTAAAAATAGCATAAGACTCATGGAATATTTACAGAACTTGCCCATGGAAAAAGGTATGAAAAAATGCAAATAAAAATTAAATGCTATTGTTACACAAAGGTATATATGCCTACCATTTTAATATTTATTATTGTAGATCAGAAAGATGACAAGGTTTCTGACCAAACAAGTGGTACTGTGACCAAGCTCTTTGATGTATCTAACTGTTCAAAATCAGAATTTCATCATTTTAAATATGCAATTGTCATATTTTTGTCTGGAATGATGGGAGATCCTAATTTCATCAATCAGGTACACTATTTAAATCAACTTAAAATGTGTTTTGTTCAGATATATGCATAGGGGAAAGAAAAAAAATAATTTAAAAATGTAATATTGTTTTAGGTAGCAGCATTGCCAACAGATGAAGTAAAAGATTTAGAACAATATTATGCACATCTTATTGAATGTGTTTTACAGCATATTCAAATATCTGTACATGCAAGTGAAATAAATGTTGGCAAACCCACTGCAAAATTTTGGAAGTGTATGTTGGCCCAAAGTTATGATCTCCTAGATAAAGTAAGACACGATATATTTTATTTTTGTGATTGTTATCATCATCCCATTGATTTATTGTATAATTATTTTGATTGCTGTTGTGATATTTTTTGTAGGTTAATGCTCTTCTTCTTAGTGACATGTTTCTTCATGTTATTTTGTCACTTCTTAATAATACAATACATACAGTACGTCGCAGGGCTATGGAACTCATGAATGCTCGTTTACAAAATGAAGAATTTTTCATGAGTTGCAAAACTGAAGATTTACTGTCACTTGTAAAACCACTACTCAGTATTATTAGTACTATTAATGAAGAAAATATTAGTTTTGATGAGCAGTTGAACCAACAAACAGCTTTGGCATCTATGAAGCTGATGGCTCGTCTTATGGCTTCCAAGCACATTGAAATTTTTGGGGAAGTATGTTATTTGCTTTTAATCTCTTATATTCATTGTGATTTTATGTTTTTCAAATAAATTATCATTTTTTATCATTGAAATGAACATGAATTTATTGGGTACATTTTCAAAGCAACTTCAATTTTAGACATTGAATTTTTGCATGGAATTTGCTTAATTTGCTTGAGTTATGAAATCTGTTTCTCCTAATAAAATATTTCTTACTTAATGTGTGTGTTTATATTATTTTAGAGTTGTTTATTTACTGCATTTAATAAATAAATTTCCAGATCTTAGATAATTTGACTGACCTTATTATGAAGAAGACTCTCCAAGGAAATGTTTTGGCTTCTGCTTTATTATGTGGTGCTGAGTTGTGCAGTTGTCTCAAAGCTTTTGCCGTCAGCAACCTTCCAAAATTTATGCCTGCTCTTCTAAAAGTCTTCAAAAAGGAGAAGAAGACAGAGAAGTTAGTACATGAAGGGATTTATAATATAGTTTTTTTTCTTGTGTTTGCTGCAAACAATACTGTTAAGAACAAAACTAAAAGTTTTGAGAAAACCAGGATTTAAAATTTTACTTTTACACAACATTTTTGTTTTTAAATCTATCTCAGGAAATTGTGAACACGTGTTGTGTAGCATAGCATAGCATAGCATAGCATGCCATTGAACAACCTTCTATATTTTATTGTATTTACCCAATTATAAAATGAGTTTTTTTCCTTAAATAGCTCATTTAAAAAATATGGAGTCATCATATATTTTCAAATTAAGTGTATATAGTGGGTTGTGATCTATGTTTTTAGTTTGCCTTTCCAGGGCATGAAACCAAAAGCTGATGTAACAATACGCTTTAATGGCGTATATACTGTAATATGTATTTTTCACAGATGTATTCTTGTCGCCCACTCTGGATTTGCAGAGATTTTGATACACAATGTGGTAGTTAGACAATCAACATGGCCGCACAGACTCCAGTTTGATGCTCAACGTGTATGAATATGCATTTGCTAAGTGAATTGGGAAATGAAATGGAAAAAATTTGCCTTCACATTCGCTTTTGTCACATTCTACATCCAACAAAAGAAACAATAGTTTTATATTAGTTCGGAAAAAAAATCCCAAACTTTGCAAATTTCCTGCTCTTTTCCAAGGCGTGAAGATATATATAGAATTAGAGGATAGTCTCTATATGGTAAAAAAGTATATTTTCAGCCATATATGGACATAACCCTCTTTTTATTGCAATATTTATTGCGATTTTTTCTTTCTTCTCACTTACCCAAAAGTCACTAACAAAAATATAGTATAAACGTGGCATGGGGCTTAGCCCTTTTATACTCACAAGTAGATTAACTTGTTTACATACATCTAAGACAAAATCTCATTTTTGTTGTATTTTGGATATAACACCCTTTTGGGAAGAAACACAATACAGTTTGTATAAATGTATTACACTCATAGTATTAAATCCTTGTTTCAGCCCTGATGTGGTATTGCTGGCTATAGTAACTGCTGTTCACAAGGTTGTGGAAAGCTTACCTCATTTCTTAAGCCCTTATCTGGAGCAACTTCTTTTGGAAGTTTCCATTTTATCATCTCGATTTTTGCAAGAAGAGGAAACTCAAAAAATTGTACCTATTGTTGCAAAGTTGGATCTTGTCAGGTAAGTTGTCATCATCATAATGATTATCTTGAATTTTAGGGTGTTTGGCCTATCACCTGATCCTGTTTGTACACTACTGGTTGGTTCATACCTCCAGGTGTTCCTACTCTGCCCATTTGTTCTTTAGTCTTCCAGTGTTTCTTTGTCCTCACGATTTGTAATTTAATAGTAATTTTGAATGTGTTACATTCTTGGCCTATACCCTGTGGAGTAGGGTAGTGGGAGCAGTTGGGTCCACCCACCCCTGTTGGCACTTCTAGAGATCGCTAAAATTTCACAATAAATAATAGTAATATCTTTTGAAAAATTTGAACCATTTCATTTCATATTCACGCTAACTTGATCATATATATGTATCTTTTTCCAAACTCTGATTTTAGTGCTCATATGTGTGTGTAGTAATTGTTAAATTATTGAACTTCGTTGAAAAATTGTAGTGTTTGTGTATATATACATTCGACTTTGTATTAAACATTTTGTTTAGGTTTTTTATTTTTGTAATTGTATGTTCATATTTCTGTGTTCTACATTGTTCAAGCTTGGATATTTTAGTCTTTTAAACTGAAATAACTGAATAAGGGGTTGGCAAAATTTTCCTCTGCCCTGGGCGGCTGACACCCACGCTACACTATTGCCTGTACCCTTTCCTTTACATATTCCAACCCCCTGGAGTCTGGTCTAGATCTCCCCCTCTGCTGTTTAAGGTAGCTACGGTAGCGCATTATGGACGAAGGTTGTGATCTTGTAGGCAAAAATAATGGTTATGTAAAGCTGCCTAGGTCAACCTGTTCTTGTCTCCTGCGGCTGCTTCTACTGCTTAACCCATGAAGTCCCAATGTTGTGTAAACGCAACATTGAATATTTATATGTTTTTAGAAAAGCGCTTTGACATAAATTTGTTCTGTTTGAATCTCTATCACACTAAGAAGAAATGTTATTTGATAAGGTTTGGCACTTTTCATTCATATCGGAGTATAAATTTGGCTTCGTTGAAGTTTGAAACTTGAATATAATGTAGTGAATTATGCTACCAATGTTGAATTTTTAATTTAATTATTAAATAATACTTTTTTTTACTGTTTATTACTGTAACAAACTGGCTTCAATCTTCTTTTATCCTTTCCTTTTTGTTTATTGTGTAGATAAGTCTTTACATAGATTATTATTGATAATTTACAACAATGTTGCAATTACTAACTTTGGGATTAGTGGGGTATACGGTATGAACATAATAGAATAAACACAATTGGAATATAATCGTTGAAGAATAGACCTGTAACTACTGCTTCGTATTTCTGATCTTGATATAATTATCTCATCTTGGAGATAGTGTCTTCTCCTGCATTATTGTATAAATAATGCTTGAAGCATAATTTTTTATCTTTTATAACAATTCTGCTTATTTCAGGAATGATAGAAGGAAATTAAGGCTTCTTTTGAGGCAAGGCAAAATAACTTATGGGAATTTTGGATCCAAAAAGCAAAACAATTAATGTCGAATAACAAGCAAAATATTAGGAATTGCGCAATGACAAATTAAAATGAGTCATTGAGAATGTAAGGTGTTAGAAAATGAAAATATATGAATTAAATAAATTTTGGACACTTTAAGAATTTTTGCGAAAATAAATATAAGCATATAAATAATGAGACATTGTTGGGAGACACAATGCTAGATGCAAGAGATGAGCTAGATGCAAGAGACTTGAGATATTGCTCTTATTTCTGCAAGTGCTGAACACATTCCTCTTAATTTTGACAAAATGACAAATAAGAAAAATATAGATGATCTTCTGAAGGAGAAAGAAGTAAAAGAAGAAAAAAATGATTGACTGTGCAGTTGTCAACTCATGGAAAATATATAATATTGCGAATGAAGAAAAGCTGTCACAGCTGTAATTTTTCTTCTACTAAACTACGACTCTAATGAAATCTGAAGTCTGTGCAAAAGGAAGTGAATGCAATAATGAGTAGGTGAATACACAGGAGACTGAAAAATCCCATTTTGGTCGACCCACAAACACTTTTGTACCTAATGAAGTATGTTATGATGATATACAGATACCGACAGAGGTGACTCAGAAAATAAATTTGTCACTGCAGTGTTTCTGGGGAAAATAACCACCACCTCCTGTGCAAAAAAAAATGACGTTTATGAGACTAATAAACTAAGCCGTTGACACGCCTGGAATCATCTATCAATCATGATGTAGAGCAAGTGATTATAAAGGGAGAAACCAAAGCCAGAAGGAGATGCAGATTGGGCAAAAGTACTGCAGTTTAGTAATGTTAAAAAATACAATGTTCATCTCTATTTTTACTGTTTTCAGACATCTCATATCAAGATGCATGTACACTACATTTTGTTGCTCATTGACTATTGGTTTAAAAAAAATTAAAATTGTTTTTTATCCTTTCCAGTGTAATATTAGAGTAAATACATAATATTACAAAAAAAAAATAATTATTTCAATGCTTGGTCCTTAATGGGTTAAGGATATGGTTTGATAGATGATGTCTAATGGGTGGAAAAGACCACCGTTCCGCAACACAGGGTAACGACCATGCCTAAGCAGGACTTTTTACCCCTCGAACCACATCACCACTGCACATCTGCCTTAGTGATCTCAGCTATCGGGGTTGGCAACTTTTTATTAAATCTTTAACTTTGCAGCCTTATAAAATCTTAGAAAAGAAATTAAACACACTTTTGAAAGACTTTTTTTTCTCCTGAATACTTCATTGTTTTCTATGCATTACAAAAGTTCTTGGAATGAATTACTGAATACTAAGTACACAATTCATTCATTCATTAGGGAATATATTCTCAAGGTTACTACTTTGGTTGTTAAAAAGTATACATGCTTTTCCCAAAGGTAAAAACTGAGAAGAAATATATTGAAAGAACCGAAAAATATGACCACTGGAAGTTGAAATAAACATATTGATCTACTATGAGAGTTTCAAAAAAATACAGAATTGATTACCTTAATTACAGAAAGCATGTCAAATAGTGTTATTAACATTGTTAAATTTTCTGTGCTTTTGTTAATAATTAATCTTTACAACTGATTATGAACTTTGTTTGTTAATGAAGATTTTTTTTCTTATTTCTGCAGGCAAAAACTTTCAAGTGAAGTTCCCCTTCGAGTTTTGATGCCTGTTGTCAATACTTCGTATTTCCGGCTTCTAAAAAAGAAACATTACGAAGCTTTGGGTCCACTTATGAGCATTTTGGCTGGTAGTTTTGCTGAAGTGTCAAGTGCAGATTTTAATTATCTGCGGACAGAACTTTCCAACTTCTTTATGGCAGCTCTTCAATTTCGATCAGATAATGAAGAGGAAGAGACAAGTCTAGATATTGTGGACTCTGTGGAAGGTCATGTAATTAAAGCCCTTGTTGCATTGGTGTTGAAACTATCTGAGTCATCTTTCCGGCCATTATATTACAATCTATTTCATTGGGCAACTGCTCTGGATGTACATAAGGAGAGACTTATAACATTTTACAGGTAAGTAGTAGTCTTTGAAAATGAGATATGAGGAAATGCTAAATTTCAACTAAGCCTTTCTGTGTATTTAAAAATCTTCCAATTTTTCAGAGTTTCCCACAGTATAGCAGAATGTTTGAAAGGATTGTTTGTTTTATTTGCTGGACATTTTATCAAAAATGCTGCTTCTCTATTGGATCAAACAAATTTGTGCAAGTCAAACCCATTAGTTTATGGCAAAAGCCAGTCTGGAAAAGCAAAGAGTCTTCTCTTACTGGATGCAGTATTGAAAACATTACATTCCATTTTTTTGTATGATAGTGCCCAATTTTTAAACAAAGAAAGATTTGATACATTGATGCAACCCCTTGTTGATCAGGTAAGTTAGTCTTAATGTCATTTGCTGAGAGTGGAGAAAATGTTTTTAATATCCTAAAGGAGGTTGAACATAATGTGTTTGTTAATTTATTTGTAGTTGGAAAATACTCTTGGAGGTCTGGACATGTACAAAGAACGAGCATCAACTCTTCTAACTCCATGCATTGTACAATTTGCTGTTGTGACTGCTGATGACTCCCTTTGGAAGCAACTAAATTATCAGATTCTCCTTAAAACACGAAATTCTGTTCCAATGGCAAGTAGTATGTTTTATCATTTCATGAATATATATTATTTATATTTTGAAAAATGTGTTAATTTTTGAAATTTAGGTACGTCTAATGGCTCTGCAAACAGTGTGTGGTGTAGCTCAGAAACTGGGTGACGATTTCTTAACTCAGTTGCCAGAAACTGTTCCTTTCCTGGCAGAACTTATGGAAGATGAAGAAGAGGAAGTGGAACAAGCCTGTGTTAAAGTTGTTCAAGAAATGGAGGAGATTTTAGGAGAACCATTAAAGAAATACTTTTAATATTTTTATCAATTATTGCAAATGTGCATGAGAGCAAATGGGAGAAAAACGATGTAATTTATTAAGTTTGTGATTGGATGTAATTTGCTCTTTCAGTCTTTATGAAAATTATTTTCACTCATCATTCATGTTTAGTAATGTTTGTTCATATGTGTAAACAAATAGTTTTTACGTTGTCATTACCTTTCATTGTAATATATCCAGAGCATTTTGTTTTTCGTTTTTTATGGGCATTTGCAATACAATTTTATAATGTAATAAAGAGTAATGCAATAAGATATTGCCATGTAAAGGAAATGTTATTAAAAACATTTATTATTGTAACTGTTTTTTTCCTCCTTGAAATATCAAATTAGTGACGGATACTTCTATTTGTGAATCAATATGAATTCTTATATGAATTTCACCGAAAGGGAAGAAATACATGTGAAAATTAAGAAGAAAGGAAATGTAAACTAAATTCTGTATCTTATTCATATCCAAAGTGTTAAATATATTCATTCATTTGAGAAATGCTCAGAAGGTAATAAATTTAGTGAGATTTTCCAGAATGCATGGTAGTTCTGCACTCAACTGAAACGCATCCTCTGGATTCATTGCTCCTCACTTTACCCCACTGTCAAGGATTTCTACTTTCTTCTCTAAAGACATAGTTTCACTTGGAAAATTTCATTTCAGACCCATCAAATATTTTTGAAATCTTATTTTTATCCTAAAAGAATTAAATGTATCAGTACAGTCATAATGGGAATGCTGCTTTTGATGCATGCATTGTGGTCCATGACCCCCAAAATCCTTGGATTTGCTGCTGTAACATATTGATGTGGTATAGTTCCATAGTGAAATTCAACAGTTGTTGCAACTCACAGCTGGCGAGTGAGTGTACACAAGTGATAGAACAACAGCAATGCTGCATTTTGTATGAAGTAAACATTTTGTGCATCAAAATTGTATGGTGTACTATAATTTTGTTGAATGAAATTAAAAAGCAGAATCAAAGAAAAATGATTAAATACAGAAGCATACAAAATAGTTAAGTTTGAGGAAGAAAAAGACAATAGAAAAAAATGCAGTTTAACATTACAAAGTAAAAAGCATATGTTAAGACAACTTTGGGAACTTCTTTTCTTTCTTTGTTAGCCTGACTAGTTTATTATTAAAAATCTTTATTCATAAAATGACTCTGTAGTCCATAGTTGCAATGATTTCATGAGTTAAAAACGTTCATATTATCTTCAGCAAAATCAAATTATATTGCACAAACTTAAATATCTGAAGTAATTTCTAATATCATATTCTGGGAAAATGCTAAAACAACTTAGCACTGTAATTTAATGTAACAATACATTGATCATATACCTTTACATCTGTGTGAATATCCTGCACTTTCTAAATCCTTATTTTAAGAATGAAAATAGTTTCATGCTGGAATTGTAATTTTCAATGGTCAGGCACTCAACTGTACTTTACGTTACAAAGATCCAGTTTTTTAAGGGTACAATATTTATTATCAAAGAAACAGACTTAAACCAATCAAATCAATTACCGCAGAATATCAAATTCGTATCAATTTTAATTTTACCTAGAATTCAAGTCCCTTCATTTTTCTAACCATCTGTGATGCAGAAAAGGGATACACAGAACTAAATACATACACAAGAATATAATATAGGAAATTCAGAAAAATATAATTTTAAAGATCGAGTGTAAGAGACATTTTGAAGCCTCCCAGGGGCCAAGAAAATGTTTTTAACCCATTCATACCTGCTTCTGTTTCTCTTGGGAAGAAAAATAATATTCGTGAGATCACATTCAGCTTCGATCTAGTTCAAGCTTCAGTTGGTGAAAGTGTCCTAAAAACTTTGTTGCACAAAACTATTCATTCTTGCAGTTCTACATACAATACAAACAACAAACATCATCCAATATTAGAGCACCTGTATTTCACATGAGAACTAAAGCAATCTACATGCAATGAAATGTGGCATTTTATGCAAAACACTCCTGGTTTTTCTACACAATTTTTTTTAATACTTATTTGTTTTTCATTCTTTTCAGATATGTTATTTTTTGTATTGTAAAGAATATTTACAATTTGGAGCAACTTCAGTAAGTTTTCTACCAGCACCACAGTACACTCTACGGAACTATGAATTGTTTGACACATTCTCTAGGATTCAAATTCACAGGAAGAAAATAAATGGCTCACTAAGGTCCTGAAATCACAAAAAATTAGGGCTCCCTGCATTGTTTCACCAGCCAAATGATTTTCAATATGCATAATATCTGTAATTGTGTTCTAGTATGTTGCACAAAGAAGGAAATATTCTGAAATATATATGTAAATTGAAGCTAAAATTTGGTGCCAAACAAATACATGACAAGTTTAAAATAATTGTCTTCATGATTAAATAATAAATTATTTTAATTTTATTTAATCTAAAACATTGCATTTAATTTATTATGCAAGTATTTCAAAACATTCATTTCTTTTCTTCTAAGGAATTATTAAAATGTTAGTGTATTATTGTAGATGTTAAATCAAAATTTTGGTTGAAATGAAAATCAAATTAATTTATTAAATAATAGTAAATGTCACATGTATTTAATAATTTATTTACACACAATCCAACCATTAAAAAATTATAATATATCAATACAAATAATAAATTAATATCTGATTAGGATTTAAAACGATCTTAAAAGTTAATACTCATGAAACTAGTCATTTAAAGATAAATTACTCAACAAAGAAGGAATAGAAAGTGGTAAGGTAAAGGTTTAAATTTGTGTTAACTTAAGCTTCAATAATTTGTCTGCATTACGTAAATGAATTATTTTCTACCAAACATTTGAAATTGTAAAAATTGTCCTTGTATATTTGGTTTACATATTTTCCACAACTTCATCTTCATTCACAAAAGATATACTTTTGGTTTGTACTATATTTTTCTAAATTTATAAAGAGAAAACAACATTATTTTTTTAATAAATAATACTCTCTTTTAAACTCTTTACTTAGTAATTTACTTTTAACATACACACTTAACTTCAAAATAAAAGCAATTTTTTTCACAAAATAGATTATAATGGAACAAAAATTATAAGAAATCATTTCTTAAGACTATACAGTGTGTCTTATTTTGTTTTTTGTGTGAGCTTTATTATTTAATGTATTACTTAAAAAGAAGGGGAAATATTTTTTGTTTTACAGTACAAATTTTAAATCAAAGATGTTTTGAAAAGCACCTAGTGGAGTTAGGAAAATAAATATTACAAAAGAATATCTAGCCTAAAAAGCACACATATTTTAACATTATTTGTTCTTTTGTGCCTAATTTTCATGTATCTACTATATTTCTGAAAAACTTTAGACATGGTCCATTATTTTATATTAATATCACGTATAAATATTAAAACACTATAAAAATAATATTTACAATTTTACCAAATTCTGAAACTGGAATACTTATTAGAGTTCTTTGTAAAATTTCTTTGAGTGAAAAAAAAATAAATAAATAAAATAAAATAAAATAAATCTCAAATTAATATTTAAAACATTGACTGACATGAATACAGGTAGGGGACTTTTCTTATGAAATAACTAAGGTCTGAAACTCTCTGATTGTTAGAGTGACCTTATTTATAATCATGAAGTGCATGGTGTGTTTCTGTTTTCTTAACTTTTTAAACAAAAATATCACAAGTCACCAGAGCAGATTTTACTTAAATCATATTTGCTGCCATGCACTTGCAATAATGTTCATGTTAATAAATATATCATAAAATGATAGTTTATGATATATCATAAAATTATATATTATGAAAGCTAATTTTCAAGAAATGTACCATCACACTTTTAGTAGTGTTTCAAAGCTTTGTGTTTATTCCCTTGGGTCTCTCAGGATTTTTTAAAATTTTTATTTTACTTTATTTTAAGCTAATGAGCTTTTATATTTGAGGCCTTATATAGATTTTCGGCATTTCCTTCTCCGAAAATCCTTGAAGGGACATTGATGCATTTCTTCTATCTCAATTTCATTTTTCTCGCATTTGCATTATTTTAATTACAAACTTTGGGGTTCAGAGAGTCTTCGTTCTTCACAGTAGACGGCCCAGCCGCTGCGCGGCTGCTGCTTCCGACGAGTTGCTTCCTGTATCGACGTGGAGGTAATGGTATAATTTAGAATGTTTGAACTCGGGAATGCCACCCAAGAAAATTTCTTGAAGGAAAACCTTCTGTTCTCCGCAGGGCAGCGTGGCGGTCGGGCGCAGTGCAGAGGTGAACCAAGCCAGAGCGACCTCGTCTTTGGGCCAGGGCGGACAGGATACTGTCAATTGATGCGGTAAGTGATGTTTCCATTGAGATAAAATTGCCCTTTTTTTTGCAGAATCTGCTCGAATTATAACTTCGCAGTCCGCTGTAATGATATGAAATCTATTTATGATCCGATGTTTTTCTGAAATAAAAAAAAGAGCCTATTTGTGAAGACATTATTTCACATTGTCAGAAATGAAGTGCAATGCCAGAAAACTATTATAAAATGAAAATAAGCCTAAATCCTATAATTTGCAATTGATTCATGTACGGTAAATGTATTGAAGTTCTTATGCGTTAAAACAAATACCCCATGCTTATAATGTTCACGTGAAGTGTTCGGAAGTCTTACTGTTAAAGCCAGAAGCATGGCGGGTGAAAGTTATTCTACCGTAGCCAAAAGAGTGTTGGAGAGAGTGATCCCATAGACAGAAATCTTGACCTTGAAACAAATGACTCAGCGCGGTGTACATAACGTACTGTCATTAAACTCTCTTACACATTTCCTGCGCTCTGCAATCGCAACTCCCAAGGAACCCGCGTTTCGAGATTCTATTTAACGAAAACTTGAATCTGCGCTCAACGGTATATTCTTATTTCTGATCTCTAGTTCTTCAAAACACACTTCGACATGAAAAGTGTCAAAGAAACTAGGCAAAGATTTGGGAATTGAAATCAGTTTCAAACGTCTCCATTAGGATTAAAGATTTAAAATGCAATGGTTATTTTTTTCACATTTTTTAAAACTTTGTTTCTAGTTGTGTTTATAAAATTAATGATTAAAATAATACCAAAGATTGTTTCTAAATGATAATATAATTTTAGTTGTTAAATGTATTATGAGATCACGAAAGTAACTAAAATCACGAGAGCTATATTTACATTTTCTGTTTATAGTTTTTAGGATGTCAGTATCCAACGAACTGGTTACATAAAACTGGTTCACGTCAAGTTCACGTCGTACTCCCTAGGTCACGTACTTTGTCAGATAGGCATACTAATCCAGTGCATTATTCCGTCTGACAAGATTGGGGGCCGTTTTGGATGTTTTATAACTCCTTGATAAGAGAAGTGTTGCAAAGCAACCCTTGACGAGGAAAAGTTGGCTCATTTGAAAGTTTAATTATCGCGGGCCGAGGCGCTCGTAAGTGACCATCATTGTAATAAAGGACATTGTTACTATAATAATTTAATTCAGAAGAAATCAAATTATTTTTAAATTGTACTTCAAATATGAGTCAATTCTAAAATATTTTGGGATGTATTATTTTCAGTATGGAAATTTTAGCGGGGGGGGGGGGGAATGGTACTCAATGTTAAGAGTTATCAAATTTAAATATTAAAGCAAAAATATTAGTGTGAATGAATATTGTCAGTTGTTATAATCTTATCACCGTTTGATATAATAACTGAATTATTCAGAAACATAATAAGTACGTATGAAGAGCTAAGGTAATCTTAGATTTAAATTTCTTGGCCCCTGGCGAGTTAGAAGAGGGAGGACTGTTTTCCAATCGGGAGTTTCAATTACTGAAAGCGAAGCTCAGGATTGGGCTTCCGTGCTATGAGTACCTCTCCTAACTCACCAAATGCAAAGAAAGTTTAATCAGATCAAAGAATGTTCTACTTTTCTTTGGGCTCTTCTATTCCTTCCCCCTATCTTTTAAACCATCAAAAATATAACTCTGATCGGTAGGTTTCCGTTGTTTCCCCGATCAGCACCAGGCGAATGCCGGAGCAGTACCCTAAGAAACAGGATTCGGACCGCGCGCGATTTTTCTTTCCTCTTCCTTATCCTATCTTCATCCCTTAAACACACGTACACCAACAAGTACTGCACTACTACACATGCCGGGAGACCGGTCGGGAGCTCAGAGCTTGTCCCGGCTGGGGCGGTGGCTCCTGGAGAAAGACGTAGAGGGCAATCCCCGCAAGTCGACGTACAGGTCGTCACCGGACCTCACGCAACATTGGGGGTAGGAAAACCACCACCTTCCTTCATGAAACATTCACTACATTAGTGGGACTAATCAGCACGGAAGTTGAAACGTCAATGAAGTGTGCAGAGTGCGAAGTATGAATAAAAGGGAGCCAGGAGCGTTTTCGGTAACATTTTATTTGATAAAAAATAAATGTTCGTCTGTGAGGTATATAGAGGCCAAGCGTCGGTAAAGGAGGTAACTTCATAACCAACCTCACTACTCCTCTCGCATATCTCCAAACGAGAGCTCAATAGAACGCGCGCAGAATATGTAAGTGGTAGAGAGGGTAGTCCGCGTCTGAATCATTAGACTGCGATGACCTGTATTCGAGTCCCGACGTGGGCGGAATTTGGATCCTGATTAAGAAGTTGTAGGTGGTCGACGCCTCTTCCTAGATGACAAAACTAGAGGGCAGCTTGTCGGATCCATTGAAGACAATCCTTTCCCATCCACTCCCACTCCACCCTCAGGGTTTCCAAATGGCTTCTATATGCACTATCTAAGAAATATGTGTAAGAACTTTTATGCAGTAAGGACTACCCAAGTATGTACTAAAATATGCCCTATAAAATCGGTCTGTACTTGGTAAATCCTGGCCTCGCGCCCATTAAGCGCGTGTTGTTGTATGTGTTGTTCGAAGACTTCGCCGTGTTCTGGCCACCTGGGAAGTACGTTTTCTCGTCATACAGCAACATGTACTGGGACATTGCAAGGAAAACACACACTCTAATCTTGCCCGACCGGGAATCGAACCCGGTGTGGAGTCATGGAAAGCGAGCGAGCACGCTAACCAATGCGTTACACCGCGAGGTTCTCTTATAAAATAGTATTAATTACAAATAGTAATTAATTTTACGAACAGTACATTCCTTTATTCTATCTACGTACTCAATGGAATTTCGAAGAGTAGTTTTAGTTCGAATCTTCAACGGAAAGTCTCTATAAATGCGTTTTTATATACCAGGGTTATAAAAGTCAGTTTCGGCCGCAAGATATCGTACCTAAAAGTGCATTTTGACACAACGTATCCTCCCAGCCCTACTTCATCCCGGAAAGCTGGACAAAGTCAAATAAGGTGCCCAGCGCATATAAAGCATTTTATGTAGTTTTTTTGTCGCTGATTTCGTAACTGTAATCGAAATTACGACTTAACTAATGATGCTATGGAATGGCATAAACTTTCTCGTGGTAAAGTTCTCTAATTTCATTGGTGTTGACTGATTTTACGGTCTTGCCCCATCCTCGTGCCAGCTGCTTTCTTTCGCCGCCCAAAGTACATTTTTTTGACATTTTCTCACGTTTTCGTTTTCTTAATAGTAGAACAGAAATATTATTTTAAGGATATTAAAGAAGAGTAAAGCCTCGTCATAAATGACAATTTTCATTGAAAAAATTGGAGCCGTTTTAAGAAAATGGCGTTTAAACGTTACTGTAAAAGCGAAATTTGAAGCTCATTTTCACAGAACATTTTCGTTTTCGAAAAACTTCATTTATGGTAATTCTAGGTACTTTAATTTGCAAATGCAATAGTGTTTACAAATTGCTGGAAATGTATTTATTAACGACGTGAGAGATATTGAAAAAGAATACATTTGTGTAATTGTTGAAAAAACAAAAGAAAGTAACAAAATGAACTTGACGTCATTTTTAACAGTGCAATTAGCTCTACGTTGGAAAAGTTTGAAAAAAATTGGAGCAATTTTTGAGAAAATGGCGTTTGAGCGTTTCTGAAAAACGCGGAATTTTGAGCTCCTTTACTGGAAAACTGTTGAATTTTGGAGAAACTTTATATAACATTATTTAAATCACATGTAATCATAAATACAATAATGTGAAAATATTGACGGTAATGTAAATATTAACGACGCGGGAGACAAGTAAAAAAATACATTTTTGTATTTTTTGAAAACAACAACAACAAAGAATAGAGCAACATGACATTATTGTCGTCTTATAGAGTGAATTTAGCACTAACACTACTAAAAGTTTAAAGGGAAAAATTGGAACAGGTTTTGAGAAAATCTTGTTTTCGTTATTTTTTAAAATTGCCCGTATGTCACGCAATATTGCGCGAAAACTACTAAAATTTTCAAAAAGATGTACGCGACCTTAATGAAAGAACTTTCTACGGAGAACAAATTTCATTTGAAGAAAAACTCTTTATCTATAATTTTGTAGTTGAAGGAATACATTCGAAAAAAATTGAAATCTTCAAAAATTTAGTTTTTCAAAATCGCAGCTCCTCGAGTCGACCCAGATTGACCTGGGAATATCAATTTTGGAAAAAATCTTACGTATGATTTAGGAGCTAGTGGTGTTCACAGACGGACGGACGGTCGGTCGGTCGTTTTCAAGGAAAAAAACAAGAACACTTTTTCGATATCACGAGACCCCAAAACGTGCATTACCGTTGAAATCTCGAAACCTATTTTCCACAGCATTACATAACTTTCCCTGTATTACGTATTACCCCGTATGTTCGTGAGTATACGGGGAAGTAAAAATTGAAAGTAATAGTCAATATTACATTAAACATTAATGTATAATTTATATACGAGACAAATCTTACAAAATGCTATTTGTTTGACTACTAATTTCCTTCGGATGATAATGAAAGACTAAAATTGATCGATATTCATGGCGTTACGACACTGCCTACGACTTTTTCAGACCGGGAGAATTGGTACTAGCAAGCACAATGTTTGGTGATGCTAAATGCACAAGCTTTCGTATGCGCACATATGTGCGGAGGGTCGTCTTAGAAAGATGAAAGCCCGATAAGTTAGCTTCATCGAAAATCTTAGTCATTTTCGATGTATCAATAGCTTGTGTGCCATTTGAGATTGAGACATAGCTTGTAGCAGTTGTACCTCGACTTGTCCTCGCCCTCGACCGAGACAATCGTTTCGTTTCGTGGCTAAGCTTTGCGCAACTCATCAGCAAATTTTCTCGCTCACCGTACAATAAGAAAAGCACTCAAAACAAATTTTCACCTGAACGTAAAATCTGTTGCCTGATGTGCTTCCTAAATATCAGTTGCGACATGTGTATTAGGATCTTGAAATCAAGCACTAGTGGTGCTATAGGATGACACAGACCTTCTCGTATTAGTTTTCTATTTCCTTTGGTCTCGGCCAGCTATATGAACTTGCCACATCTTCTTGCCAGGTGCCATCTATCGCCGCCAGAGGAAATTTTTTTTAAAAAAATCTTAATTTTTCGGTTTCCTAATATAGAACGGAAATATTATTTTAAAAATATTAAAAAACAGAAAAACCTCCTCCTAAGTGGGAATTTTTATTTAAAAATTTGTAGCCTTTTTAAGAAAATGGCTTTTAAGCTCCAATGTAAATTCGAAATTTAAGGCTTTTTTTGACAGAACATTTTTGAGTTTTCGAAAAATTTCATTAGAAGTCATTTGAAGAACCTTAACTCATAAATACAAAAGTGTATACAAATCGCTAAAAATGTGTATATTAACGGCGAGAGAGGTGTTTAAAAAAATTACATTTGTCTAACTTTTGAAAAAGAAAAAAAAAATTCACCTTATAACGTCATATTAAAGAGTACAATTACCACTATCCGTTCGAAAAGTTTAAAGAAAAAGTTTAGAGCCATTTTTTTAGAAAATCGCGTTTAAGCGTTTTGAGAAACTTTGTAGGATATTATTTCAAGCACATGTACACATAAATATAATAATGTGAACAAATTGCCGCCAATATAAATATTAAAACGTGAGACACAAGTAAAAAAATACAATGTAATTTTTGAAAAAATAAAAGAATAGAGCAATATGACGTTTATCTCATCTTATAGAGTTCATTTGGCTACTATCCCTTCCACTATCTCTTCCAAAAGTTTAAAGAAACAATTTGGAGCCGTTTTTGAGAAAATATTGTTTTTGTATTTTTTAAAAATTGCAAATATTGCACGCAGTAACTTCTAAAAGTTTCGAAAAAATGTACATGATCTTAATAAAAGGACTAATTATGGACATCAATTTTAATTTTACGAAAATTTAATTTAATTTATCTTCAATTTAGTAGGTGAAGGAGGACGCCGAATAAAATTCATACTTTTGAAATTTTCGACAATTCAGAATTAACAGAGAAAATCGGACTTATACCACTTTTAGAAGTGTATGTGACTCTATTGTTACAAGAAATTGAAAGAAAAAAATTGGAGCCGTTTTTGAGAAAATTTTAAAAATTTCCGAACGGCTTCATGCAAATAAACCTAATTTTTAAAGAATGTTTTCAAAATCTGAAAGCTTCGACTCTAGCCACATGGACAGGAATTTCTTCAAGTTTGAAAAAAAGTCTACGCATGGCGGTCGGCTCTATTAGTGTTCACAGGCGGACAGACGGACGTTTTGCCGTCAAGTGATTTTTCGGTATCAAGGAACAGAGCAGGGATTCTATCTACAACACGTGTTAAAGGATTTTTTTCTTAATTTAGAAACTGGATTTATTCACTTTTCGTTATCAGGGCTCGGCAATGCATTTTTTCTGCCGAAAATCCACTGTTATTTCGCGCTGCATTACATAACTTTCCCTTACTCCGTATATACGAATGTATACGAGAAAGTAAAAAACGCTGAAATTGTTTTGAGGGAATTAAAGACACACGTTCACAGAGTAATATTAACAGTATCTTTATTTTTACTGTTTCGACAGATGTTGTCGAAACGATCCCGCCATGAAAGCACGCGTCTTTTGGGCCTGGGCAAACAGAAACATTGTGTTTGAGGCAGCAAGGGTACCCTTTTTCCGAATATTCAGAGAATAATTATTTTTACTGCAGCGAAGGAAGGAGCCGGAACGAACATTTCCTCCCGACTGCGCAACGCGGGATCTGTCAGGAATACACGCTTCAGCGGGTGAATCCATTTGTGTGCCTGGACAAACAAAAATTGTACTTGGGCAATCAACAGCACACTTTTCCTTAATATTTTTCTTGGAATAATCATAGGTAATACCACTAGTGCATTGGAAATTCCCGACTCGCGAAGCGTGGAGGAGACGTACCTGAGAATTTCCAAAGCAATGATGGTATTTAATATGACTATACCACGAGTAAAATTATGTTCACAGTTCCATAATGCGTCAAATATTGAAAATAACTAAATACTATATTAAAATCACATACGATACAGCGATCGATGTAGTATACCGCCACCTGAGGTAGATGAGTCACAGTTTATGATTGGTTAGTAGGAAGAAGCGGTACGAAAAATCGGATAGAAAAAGCGATAAACGTTTTGCGAAACACCGCCCTCACTCGGACGATCGAACGAACGAACGAACGAACGAACGAACGAACATATGAATACACTCTTGAGCTTGTAAACCCACTTCCGTCCCTGGGCAAATTAAAATTGTACGAACATCACCTCAGGGGAGACTTCTTCGATTATGACCTTTGACCGATATTTTTTTCCACCTGCCTAGTGTTGGAATTTGTGGCATTAAGGCGATACATTCGTTTCCAGGAAGGAATTAATTTCCAGGTCGTTGTATTTCCTAACATCGAGGTTCACTGTAAGCGAGGTCCAGGTTTACTGTAACCGAATCTTCTTATGCTTATATGTAGTAATGTAAGTAAAACGGGACCAGTGACTAAAGTTCACTTTAACCGAGGGTTCATTATAACCGAATTCACTACAACCGGAGCCGGCTGTATTTTCAAAGTGCTTAATGCACTCAAAACTTGAAATTGAGTTATTTTCCAAGTTTCGTTGTTTCGTCCTTGGACAGGAAGTCGCATATTGTGGTAGAGGGGCAAGGGCCGGAACACTCGCTACGCGGCAGTCATCAGAGGGCTCGGAAACGTTGCGCCCGGGGCTCTTAAAACCGAGTTTACGGGTATCTGAAAGGGACAGTGTTATCTTTCTTAAACATTAATCTACAAAAGGAGAACTTTTTGAACCTTCTATTACATTTTTGGAGATTTAAGTAACTCCCAATCTATGTAAAAGTGAGTTGAAGGAATAAAAACCGAAATAATCTTCCACGATAAAAATAAAGGTGACTTTCATATTCTGTGCAATTTAATCTCAAAGCTCAGCAGTGCTAGAATGTTTCCTTACGCACAGAACCGGACAGAATCCTTATCCAACGGATTGCGAGAGAAAGAGGGCTCTTGGATCTGCCCTTGACGATTTGGCTCAATAACTTAATTTTTTTAACGTGGCGTCTCAAGGTCCAACACGAAAAAGGGAAAGGGAAGGCAGCTCCAATTGGGTGCCGCAAAAGTGGGAGCTGCAAAGACGTAGCTCCTTGTTGGAGTCTGCCTTCCTTTTCCCTTTTTTCGTGCAGGACCTTTTAGTCGCCGCGTTAAAAAAACAGAAATTTAGCGTCGGAGCAGTTAAAGAAGTACACAGTAGTACACAGAAGTACAAAGACGACCACATCGAAGTACTTTTTTATAACTCTTAGTTATAATTTTACTTTTAATTTAATTGTGTATAATAGAATATTCGCAACACAAACTCCGCTTAGATGACGTAATATATCAGGTGACTAACGGACAGAACTGAACTTTATAGTATTGTATTCCCATTTTTGTGGGTCTATTGGCGCATTTTTTGAATTTCGTTTACTTCTGGCATGTATGCTACGGAGCTGGGGCTAAATCTCCAGAAACGAAAAAAGAAGGTTCGAAAGGGTGACATTTTGTAGAATTCTGCTTAAGATACTATCTCCTTCACAATTAGCCCCCATTTGATTCCCTGCGTTATTCCCCACACATCCTCTGCAAGTCCTATATCGACTAAAATGAACGTCGCAATCTAGGAATAAACCTCTTTTTCAAATCTTGAAGCACTTCGAGAATCACAACGATTAAAAAAAAATAACATCAGAAGCGAAGTTTTCTTAAGACTCTTGTCTTAATTTTGGAGTCAACATTTTTTTTCATTTTCGAGCATCAAACATTTGCATGTTAGAAATGGACGACGTAAGAGCGATTTATTTTTCTTTAAATCTAGATAAAATTTGAACTCTTGTATGTTTATTATTGGTCGTTGATTTTATGTGTTGTTTTAGATGGAGCTGACAACGAGTACAGTTATATATATTCTAGTGGCATTAATGATTCCCATTTGGTTCTATTTACAAACTGATCCAAAACGGAAGCAATTTGTACAAGTCATCAACAAGATTCCTGGACGATTAGCTTTACCTGTCATTGGGAATGCTTATGAAGTATTCACCCTCACGAGAGAAAGTAAATTTGATGACTTTACCCAACGTTTAAAAATTTTTGGGAGAAAGAAAGGATTTAACTCAATTGTTGTGTTTCAGATTTTTTTACATTGATCGACGAGGATACAAAGAAGTACTGGCCGATATTTAGGTCGTGGAATGGACCTTTGGCAGAGGTGCATCTGTCAGACGCCGACCACATCGAAGTACTTTTTTATAACTCTTAGTTATAATTTTACTTTTAATTTAATTGTGTATAATAGAATATTCGCCAGTGAGCAATCAGTTGAGACGTTATTGTGAAGTTATGCAATTTGATATTCAACAAGTAGTTATTAGCTAAATGAAAGATACTTTAGATAACATTTTAGATATTCAAGGGCCAGCAGCTTCATTCAAACATTTCAAGGGCCAGCAGCTTCCCTTTTGTTCTTTTCTCAATCTCCCAAACTTCTGAACCGTATATTGTAACATTCTTAACTAGCGAGGAGTAAAGACGTCTTTTAGTAGTGTTAGTAATGGTTTTGTTCCATAAGACAGAGTTTATAGTTTGTGTCACGTTTCTCCCCAAGCTTATTCGTCTCTCAATTTCGTCATGGCTATTTCCCTTATTGTTAAAAAGTACACCAAGGTATTGTCAGATCTACCCTTTGCTCAAATTTCACTTCCTTATGTGACTGGAAGTTTCTGTTTTCTAGAAGCAGTCTTCCGAAATACTCTTTCCATTTATTGATTCTACTGTTTGATAATGCGATATTGTTTTTCTCATTCGATTTAATAGATTTAATTACTTTCCAGGCTTCTGAGCTCTGTGCTCCACCTATGAATTGTTCTATATAATCGCATTTATCCAGGCATAATTTATTCTTCCTTGATAACACTTCTAGTTTTACTTCTTTACTTATTGCTTTGTACTGTAAATTAGTTTCAGTTTTTTTGTCACTAAGCCATTTTAAATAGAGTTCTCTTTTCCTCTTAATCTTTTCTTTTGACTTGTGTTCCACCAATACTATTTCGGTTTTAATTTACAAGTACCTAAAGCCTCCTCTGCAGCTTGGTGAATACACTCTTTTATGTGTTCATATTCTTTTTCTATTGGCCTGTGTTTAACCAATAGTTTAGTTTCAAGCCTTGTTCTTTAGAGATATGCAGTACTTTCATCGAAAAGACTGCTTAATTTATATTTGGTAGGTTTCATGACAAATCCCTCCTTATTTTCTTTATCTGTGCTACTCAATGAAAATGGTATGAATATTTTAGCAATTATTAAACAATGATCGCTACATTGGGCTCCCCGTTTCACTTTAACATCTTGGACTTTGAGTGAAGTGTTTCATTAATTTTATTAAGTGTTACTAAGTAGTAATTTATTAAGTATTTTTGTAAGTGTTATTAATTTTAATTTCATACTCTTCACAAATATTAATAAGTCTTTTTCCATTGCCATTGCAAGTTTCCTCACCATGTTGACTCACAATATTGTTCTTGTCACTTCCAACTCTGCCGTTTAAATATCCCGCAAATATTATTTCTTGGGACTTTGGAATACCATCAAGGGTTTCTTTGACTGTCATTTCAAAATCATCTTTCTTAGCCATTGG